CTCGCTTGCTCCTTTGTCAGGATTACGCTTATCTTTCTTGTCAAAAAGAAAAACTGGCTTTTACTTATCTCTTAATATTCAACTGAAATATTCCCACTCATGCAGAGTTAACTTAGCTCAGCTTGGGTTAATTGCCTACACTTAAGGCTAAAAAAAGTTGATTGGGCTGGCAAAATGTAGAGATGCCACTTAGTATAGGCCTGTGGATCAAGAACTTTGCATTTTGTTAGCTAAGAATTTTGTCTTAGCATATTTGGAGATGCCTATAGTTTCTTATCTGTATTGACTTTTTAATCAAGGCTACACTTTTGTAGTTTTTCTAATTTCTCTTCATTCTTCTCTGAAATGAAACTTTAATAGCCTATATTCCTTTAACATTATATGGTAGTGGTGTGGGTGAAAGGAGAAGATAGAAGCCTCAGTGTATCATATGAATATATCCATTCCATCCCCTGAATAGCCATTGATGTGTAAAGGCTATATGTAATTTGGGGACTCTCTGAACTTTTATTTTCTAAAGCAGGGAAGTTGGCCAGTGTATGTTAGAAAGCATTTCTTAAGTTGAAAACAAAAGGGGTTTCCAAATGTCTTTGAATAACTGAGAAAGCTTTTTTCTTAACCCATATTGTTTCATCTTCCAGATATTCCAAGTAAGCACTTTTGAGTGATGTTTTTGCTATGATTTTTGGTAGTATTACAAACTTTGTTCTCATATGGTAATGGGGCTTGCATGTTTGAATTCTGTATAGCAGTGTGTGGACATAATATTGACTCATACTGGTATTCACTGTTATGGGCATATCTGGTACTAGATTTTGATGTTTCTGAATTGATGCAGTTGTAGCTTATCCTATATAATAAAACCCTAATATGCAAATTGACCTAATGGCAGAATGACCGGTCACTATGACACACCGACCACCAGGGGGCAGATGCTCAACACAGGAGATGCCCCCTGGTGGTCAGTGTGCTCCCATTGGGGGAGCACCGCTCAGCCAAAAGATGGGCTCATGGCTGGTGAGTGCAGTGGCGTTGGCGGGAGACTCTCCTGCCTCCTCAGCAGTGCTAAGTTCCCCTCCAGTGATGTCCGCTTGTTGGCTTAGGCGGACATCCTCCGAGGGGTCCCAGACTGCGAGAGGGAGCAGGCTGGGCTGAGGGACCCCCCGCTCCCCCGTTGCATGAATGTCGTGCACCGGGCCTCTAGTCAGTAATATGTAATGATGTATGACAATCTTAATTCTTGAGGTCACATGGAATAGGTGCCTATAAAGAAGTATGAGGCTAATTTCCATAAAGAATTGAATATGAGTTATACTGTTAATAAACTATACAATAATTATAGTATTTGATATCATGTTTTTTTTAAAGAAACCATGCTATTATTTATTCAATGATAGTGTTTGAGCTAGGTTAGGTTTTAATTCCTAATCTAGAAAGAACTTTTACATTAGAGTTCCAAGGTGAATCTTGTATGTTTGAGTACATAATTTAGATGTTTAAATGTTGTATATTATGAATACTAGAGGCTTTAAAAAATTCCAAGAAATAGCTCTATGGAGAACTACTTTGCTTTACTATTATTATAGAATTTTAATAACGATTTTGTGTGTTATAATTTGGGTTTTGTACATGTGGGTTGTGAGAAATAAACTGGAAATCCTGTCTCTGTGGGTTGGGTTTTGGTGTGGCTTCAAACGGCAAACAAAATATTTTAGCTTGTATGTGCCAGGTAAAATTTTAAATGGACTTTCCATAGGGTACAAACTTCTGAAGCCAAATAATGTAAACTGTTTTTATAGTTTCAGACAGACTCCTGTTGACTTACATTTGGTTTTGTTAACTTAGTGGGAAATCAGTAGCTGATTAAGCAAACAGCTAAAGGAATATCTTTGTACATCCTTAGTACAGCTTGTTCCTGTTCACTCTGTGACAAGTTGTTTGGGGAATAGCTCTTCCATAATATGCCAAGACCTGATATCCTACCAGTCTTGTTGATTTTTTCCTTTATTTTTTTTTAAATAACAGGTGTTTCAAGATATATCTTGATTTGTTTAAAGAACTTTTCCCAGAAGATTTGACTGATTTTAGATTTTTTAATTGTACTTAAATAAAGATGTGTTTGTTTTCTTCCTTTCTTCTAATTTATTTGAAAATTTTAGGAAAGGAACAATGTAGTACGATTAGGGTGGCCAAATTTAGAAAGGTCTAGGTGAATTTATTGTCTTTAAGCTTGAATTATTCTTATTTATATGACTGGTTGGAGATGTCACATGTAATTTGAGGTTTACATTTGGTTTTATGTTAAGTGAATCTGATCCAGACTCAGCTATCTTCAATGATTTTCTTCAGTGATTTTCCCAGCTGTAAATTCAGAACTTGGCATTGAAAGCCATGTGGTTTTGTGTAAGTAGAATTCAGATTGTGATGTTTTCTGTCACTTCATAATTCTAATTTTAAAGTTTCAGATTTTAAAGCAGAATAATTCACTCCAGAAAAGTCCGGAATCTGTGATTTTCCATACATTGCCAGGAACATTGATGGTCAATAGTTTGAATCATAGTGAATACCTTTTATTAGAAATATGGTGGAACCTTTTATTTACTCACACATAGAATTATAAACATGAATTTTCTATCTTTTATTTATAAAACTACAGGCAACCCTTTGTATTCTCATTCTTATATTTCTTGGAAACACATAGATATTTATGGAATTTTCCTGTACTGGTAATAAAAAGGGAAGAGTGGGGAATAAGCCTCAAGCATGAGCCACTTATTTTTCTTTAGCCTTACTTAAAAAATTTCACCTTTCAAAATATTGGTCTTAATTGCACATTGAATATGGCAGGTCCTGCTAAATCTTTTCTTGTAGCTAGCTATATTACCTATTGGTGTAATGCCATCTATCCTATCTAATAATAGACAAACATGGTAATTGACCGTACCTTTGATATGCCCCCCATTGGCTAATCAGCACCATATGCAAATTAACCGCCAACAAAGATGGAGGTTAATTTTTATATACCGGCTGGGAGTGAAGACTGAAGACAAAATGGAAGTGAAGCGCTACAGAAGGGAGCAAAGTAGAGGCGGCGGAGACAGGAACGAAGCCAAGACTTCAGAGGCAGGAGGCGGGAGGGGAAACCCAGCAGGAGCGGCTGGGAGCGGGAGGGGAAATCCAGCCGGAGCGGCTGGGAACGGGAGGGGAAACCCAGCCGCAGCGGCTGGGAGTGGGAGCGAAGCCCGCCTCAGCAGGTTTCGCTCCCTTCTCTGCTTCGCTCCAGCCACTGGAAGCCCTATTCTTGCAGGAATCTTCCTGCAACGAGCCTCTAGTCTATAATAATAAAAGTGTAATATGCTAATTAGACTGGGACCGCTAAACGACTTTCTAGATGACCTGGACGAAGCCTGGGGCTGTGAGGGCTGAGCCCCTTGTACGAATTTCATGCATCGGCCTCTAGTTAGATTATAAATGCCTGTAGGTTAAAGGTAACATTCATCTTTGTATTTTGTTATACTCAGTTCCTCACGTAATAACATATACAGAGTAAGTATAATGGGTTTGTTGAATTTAGTTGACTTGAATTAGAGGGGAGGAATTAGGTAAATGGAAAACAGTGCTAACCAGAGGAAAACTATGTCTTGTAGTCTTTCTAGATACCTTGTTATTTTTGTTTAAGTGATCAAGAATAGTTATATTATATTCACCTTTAAAACCCTTTTGACTGACTAGTGAGAAATTGTAGCATGTCCTTGTTCTGTTGCCAACTAGCAACTTACCTTTCAATAAGCTGTGCTATGTAGTAATTCTGATGGTTAAAAAATAATTTAAAAAAAAAAATAATTTTGTTTTAGGGAATAATGCTCATGAATTAATTTGTAGACTAATTTATTTACCTCCCCCCATTAAAAGTTAGTGTGAATTTTGAAAATTGTGAAATGTACAGGTTGGAGATGTATAATTTGTTGAGTTCTGACAAATATATAACTGTGTAACTATACTCCAATCAAAATATAAAACTTCCATTTCCTCAGAAAGTTCTTAATTTCTCTCTCTCTAATACCACTCTACCCTGTCCCCTGATCCACTTTTCTGACATCTATTACATAGATTAATTAGTTTTACCTGTTCTTGAGCTTCATATAATTGGAATTATATAATAAATTAGAGGCCTGGTGCATGAAATTTGTGCACTGGTGGGGGGTCCCTCAGCCTGGTCTTCCCCTTCTCACAGTCTGGAAGCCCTCAGGGGATGTCCTACTGATGTCTTAGGCCCGCTCTCTCTGGGGAGCGGGCCTAAGCCGCAGTCTGGCCTCCCTCTGCGGGAGGCAACCAGCTGATCAGGGGAAGGCACCACCTCCATCACTCCCTTGCTGCTGCTGCCTCTGGCCTTTACCCTGTGATCAGGGGAAGGCGATGCCCCCATCACGCCTCTGATACTGCCACTACCAGCTGTGAGGCTGCCTGAGCCTCAGCCATCATAGCCACTGCGGCTTGCCTGAGCCTCACCCGGCCCTCATTGCATGAGCCTTGGGCCCTCGTAGTGGCAGCAGTCATCAGTGGCTTGCCAGAGCCCCAGGCTGGCCCTGGGCAAGTGGCAGTGGCCATCGGCTGCGAGCTTCCCAGTGCTTAACCAATCGGGTGTGCTCATCTGGTGATGGGCAGACCACGTCTTCCAGGGTTCTCCTGACTGCAGGGGGAGAGTGCAAGTCTCCCTCCGGCCCTGGGTCAATGGGTCCGGCTGCTAGAGGAAATTCCCTACATTGGTTGCCCAGATACCTGGAGGCCTCCACTGATTCCTGACCCTGACCCGAGGGGCTTTAAGGGGCGATGGAGATGGCCTGGGAGTTTGAGGAGCTGCAGGAAGGAGCTGCCTTTCTCAGAACCCCTGACCTGCAGTGCCAGAGGCCAAGGTGGAGCATGGCTGGGCCGGGAGCTCTTAGCCCTGGAGCTCAGACTTATCCCCACCTGCCTTCGCTGCTGGGCTTTCCCTCGCTCACCTGTCTTTCACTGCTGGTGCAGAGGTTTCCTGGCAGAGAGGCTCTGCTTCCACTTGGCAGAAGGAACCTGTGGTCCTTCTGGACAAGCGGCAGCGACCATTGGGAGTGCTCACAGCCTCCACCACTGCCATGTGGGGAGTACAGGCTGCACTCTGCTGGGCCCACCTCCCCTGCCCCTGTCCCCACTGCCACTTGCCCAGGGTCAGCCCTGGGCCAGCGGCAGCCGCCATCGCATCCCCAACGCTGCAAGTTCCCCCCACCCACACCTGCACACGCAGCCTACTGATTGGTCGTTACTGTGACGGCGTCCCAACCAATTTGCATATTATCCTTTTATTAGTATAGATGTGTACTCTTTGTGACTGGCTTACTTTACTCAATGTAATATTTTTGATTTTTTGGATTATTATTGTAAAGTATTTATTCAACTTTAGAGACATTACATAAAATTTACCGTCTTTACCATTTTAAATGTACAGTTCAGTGGCATTGTTGTGTTACCATAACCATCTTTCATCCACAGAACTCTTTTCATCTTTTAAAACTGAAACTTCATTGTTATTTCTTAATTTATAGATTCTTCCTGATTGAGTTTTGGAATGTTGTATTTTTCTAGGAATTTGTCCATTTCTTCCAGGTTGTCTAGTTTGTTGGAGTAGAGCTGTCCATAGTATTTTTTAACAATCATTTGTATTTCTGTGGGGTCTGTTGTTATTTCGCCCCTATTGTTTCTGATTTTGTTTATTTGGGTCCTCTCTCTTTGCTTCTTGGTGAGCATGGCTAGAGGTTTGTCAATCTTGTTTATCCTTTCGAAGAACCAGCTCTTGGTTTCATTGATTTTCTGTATTATTATTTTGGTCTCTATGTCATTTATTTCTGCTTTAATCTTTATTATCTCCTTCCTTCTGCTCACTCTGGGGTTTCTTTGTTGCTCTCTTTCTAATTCTTTGAGTTGTAGAGTTAGATGATTTACTACCATTTTTTCTTGTTTTTTGAGATAGGCCTGTAGAGCTATAAACTTCCCTCTCAGGACTGCTTTCATTGTGTCCCATAGGTTTTGGATTGTTGTGTTTTCATTGTCATTAGTTTCCAGGATGTTTTTAATTTCTTCTTTGATCTCATTGGTAACCCAATCAATATTTAATAACATGCTTTTCAGCTTCCAAGTGTTCGAGTATTTCGGGTTGTTTTTATTGTAGTTTATTTCTAATATTATGCCATCATGGTCTGAGAAGATGCTTGGTATAATTTCAATCTTCTTGAATTTGGGGAGACTTTGTTTGTGACCCAATATGTGGTCTATTTTTGAATCTGTCCTATGAGCACTTGAGAAGAATGTATATTCCGTGGCTGTGGGGTGAAGTGTTCTGAAGATGTCAATTAAGTCCATCTGATCTAGTGAGTCATTTAGGATTGCTGTTTCTTTGCTGATTGTTTGTCTAGAGGATTTATCCAGTGATGACAGTGGTGTATTAAAGGCCCCTACTATGATTGTATTGTTGTCGATCTCTCCTTTGATATCTTCCAGGAGATTTTTTATGTATTTGGGTGCTCCTGCATTGGGTGCATATATGTTTATCAGGGTTATATCTTCTTGTTGTATTGATCCCTTTAGTATTATGAAGTGGCCTTCCGTATCTCTTGTTATGGCCTTCACTTTGAGGTCTATTTTGTCCGATATAAGTATTGCTACCCCAGCTTTCTTTTCTTTTCCATTAGCCTGAAAGATATTTTTCCATCCCTTCACTTTCAGTCTGTGTGAGTCCTTTCTAATGAGGTGGGTCTCTTGTAGACAGCAAATGTATGGGTCATGATTTTTTATCCATTCAGCCACTTGATATCTTTTGGTTGGAGCATTTAGCCCGTTTACATTTAAAGTTATTATTGAAAGGTACTTGTTTGTAGCCATTTCTTTTTTTGTGTGTGGCTGTTTTCTTTCTGGGATTTTTATTTCTTCTTTTTACACCAGTCCCTTTAGCATTTCTTGCATTGCTGGCTTGGTGGTGATAAACTTCCTTAGCCTTTTTTTGTCTGTGAAGCTTCTTATTTCCCCTTCAATTTTGAATGATAGCCTTGCTGGATAGAGTATTCTTGGATTCAGTCCTTTGCTTTGCATCACTTTGTAAATTTCCGTCCATTCTTTTCTGGCCTGATGTGTTTCTGTTGAGAAATCATTTGATAATCTAATGGGAGATCCCTTGTATGTAACTTTCCGTCTCTCTCTTGCAGCCTGTAAGATTCTCTCTTTGTCCTGAATATTTGCCATGGTAATTATGATGTGTCTCGGTGTGGGTCTTTTCGGGTTCACCTTGCTTGGGACTCTCTGGGCTTGTGTGACTTTTTTCTTCCCCACCTCAGGGAAGTTTTCTGATATTATTTCTTCCAATAGGTTTTCTAATCCTTGTTCCTCTTTCTGTTGTTCTGGCACCCCTATTATTCGTATGTTGTTTCGTTTCATGTTGTCCCAAAGCTCCCTTAGGCTCTCCTCCTGTCTTTTAATTTTTTTCTCCAACTGAAGTACAGTTTGGGTGTGTTTTGCTTCCCTGTCTTCTAATTCACTAATTCGGTCTTCTGCTTCTCCTAGTCTGCTGTTGATACTTTCAATGGTGTTCTTTATTGCAGCTATATCACACTTCATTTCTTCTTGGGTCTTACTTAAGTTGTTGATTTTTTCATCTGTTTCTTCTTGCTTCTTGGATAAGTTGTCGATTTTTTCCTCCATCCGGTGTATGCACTCTAGGACCCTTATTCTGAATTCTTTTTCTGTCATGTTGTATGCCTCTGTATCACTTAGCTGCTTTTCTGGTGAGTCCTCCTTTTCTTTCCTTTGGGGATTTCTTTGTCTACCCATGTTTGATCTCACTGACGTATATAGATATTGAGTCGTTCAGTGGCTGCTCCCTAGGTGGCAGTGGCTCCTCGGGCTGTGGTTGCTCCTTGGGCGGTTGTGGTAGCAGTTGCTCCTCTGTTGGTAGCGGGTCTTCTGATGGGTGCTGTTCACAGCTGTTGTGGCTCTTCTGGCTGGTGGAGGGAGGCTTCACACACAGCAGCTGTTCCTCAGACAGAGCGTGTGGAGATCAGGAGGCCGCTGTTGCTTGGATCTGCTTTCTGTGGGGAAAAGCAGGGTTCCTCTGAGTTCACGTAGTCGCGCTGCTTGAGAGCCGTTGTTGCCGGGTTAGTAGCTGGTCTCTGGATGCCGGTGAGAGTCACCCAAGATGGCACGGTCTCCGTGGCTGTGCCGCCGCACCTGGAGAGGTTTCAGCCTCAGCCTCTAACCGTTCCCTTTATCTAGGATTTCTCTGTCTTTCCTGGCTGCAGACTGTCTCTCAGCTGAATCTCCTCTGCTTATTCGGGGTGTATGCTACCCGTTTCAGCTGCCCGCCCTTATCTGCTCCGGGACAAGGCACCGACACGTCTGTCTAAACCTCCGCCATTTTCTTCCTCCTTTATTTCTTAATTTATAATACACTTTTAAAAACAGCTTATAATACAAGCTCTTTTATCCAACTCAGTTTGGCCTAATAATTGTTAAATTTATTTAAAAATTTTGGCTGGGGGCGTTAGTCATAAAATGATATTATTGGTGTATAAAAATGCCATCAATTTCTGGATGTTATTTGTATATCCCACTACTTTGCCAAATTCGTTTAATCTAACAATTTTTTGTGTGGAATCATTAAGATTTTCTATGTACACTATCATGTCATCTGTGGTAATGACAGTTTTACTTCCTCCTTTCCGATTTGGATGCCTTTTATTTTTTCTTCTTGTCTGACTGTTGCGGGTAGGACTTCCAGCACTATGTTAAATAAGAGTAGTGAAAGTGGATATTCCTGTCTTGCTCCTGATCTTAAGGGAAATGCTTTTAGTTTTCGCGCATTGAGTATGATGTTGGCTATAGTTGTTATATATGGCCTTTACTATGTTGAGCTATATTATCTCTTTTCACTTTGCTGAAAGTTTTTATCAAAAATGTGTGTTGGATTTTGTCTAATGCTTTCTCAGCATCTATTTTACTTAGTGTTCTTTTTCTTTTTTAAAATATATTTCATTGGTTTTTTTTTACAGAGAGGAAGGGAGGGGATTAGAGAGTTAGAATCATTGATGAGAGACAAACATTGATCAGCTGCCTCCTGCACACTCCCTACTGGGGATGTGCACACAACCAAAGCACGTGCCCTTGACCAGAATTGAACCTGGGACCCTTCAGTCCCCAGGCCGACGCTCTATCCACTGAGCCAAACTGTTTAGGGTTGGTGTTCTTTTTCTATTCTAGAATAGTATCCATGATACTACATTACATTTAGTGGTCATGTCTCTTTAGTCCCTTCTTCGCTGTGATGATTTCTAAAACCTTGTTTGTTTTTATGACCTTGATAATTTTGAGGAATATAGGTCAGGTATTTTGTAGATCATCCTTCAGTTGGGATTTGTCTGATATTTTCTCATGATTATACAGGAATTACAGTTTTTGGGAGGAAGACTACAGAAGTAAATTGCCATTTTCATCACATCACATTAAGTGTACACACTGTCTATCTGACTTACCATTATTGATATTGCACCTTGATCATCTGGATGAAGTAGTGTTTGTCAGATTTCTCCACTATAAAATGTTAATCTTCCCCTTCTTTCTATACTGTTCTTTAAAGAATGGGGAGTTTTACTCTTTCTGAGGATGGAATAACTAAATAAATTATTTGAAATTTTTTAGTATGGAAGATTTATTTATTCTTCATTATTTATATATTAAGCATTTATTTTGATCAGTATGGACTCATGGATGTTTATTTTGTACTTCGAGTTATAATTTAATATTACTTTATTTTATTACTCAAATTGTTTGAGCTTTGGTCAATGGGAGGTTTTCCAGTTGACTTACTTTGAGTTATCCTCATCATTTTGTGGTGTGCTATGTGTATGTTTATTTTAGTGCTTCCTTTATGACACTACAACAGGGGTCCTCAAGCTTTTTAAACAGGGGGCCAGTTCACTGTCCCTCAGACCGTTGGAGGGCCGGACTATAGTTTAAAAAAAAAAAACTATGAACAAATTCCTATGCACACTGCACATATCTTATTTTGAAGTAAAAAAACAAAACGGGAACAAATATAATATTTGTATTTGCATGTGGCCCACGGGCCGTAGTTTTGAGGACCCCTGCACTACAAGATTCTTCAGGCTCATCTCTATGCTGTCTGTCAAAGTTCTAAAATCAGCCATTTTCCCA